CCCCTCTTCTTCCTCCCCCTCCTCCTCTTCTTCCTCCCCCTCCTCCTCTTCTTTCTTCTTCTCTTCTCCCCCTCCTCCTCTTCTTCCTTCTCTATCTCCTCTTCTTCCTCCTCCTTCTCCTCTTCCTTTTCCATCTCCTTTTCTTCCTCCTCCTTCTCCTCCTCTTCTTCTTCCTCTTCTTTCTCCTCCTCCATCTAATCTTCTCCTCCTCTTCTTCCTCCTCCCTCTTCTTCATCCTTTTCTTCTTCCTCCTCCTCATTTTCCTTCTCCTTTTCTTCCTCCTCCTTCTTTCTTCTCTTCTTCTTCCTCCTTCTTTTTTCTCTTCTTCTTCCACCTCCTTTTCTTCCTCCTCTTCTCCCTCCTTCTCTTCTTCCTTCTCCATCTCCTCCTCTTCCTCCTCCTTCCTTCTCTTCTTTCTTCTCCTTCTCCTCTTCCTTTTCCTTCTGCTCCTTCTCTTCCTCCTTCTCCATCTCCTCCTCCTCTTCTTCTTCTCCCTCCTCCTCTTCCTCCTCCTCATCTTCCTCCTCTTCCTTCTCTTTCTATCTCTTCCTCCTCCTTCTTCTCTTCCTCCTTCTCCATCTAGTCTCCTCCTCCTCTTCTTCCTTCTTCTCCTCTTTTTCCTTTTCCTTCTCTTCTTCTTCTTCCTCCTTCTCCATCTCCTCCTCCTCCTCTTCCTCCTTCTACTCTTCTTCTTCCTCCTCCTCCTCTTCCTTCTCCACCTCCTCTTCTTCCTCCTCCTTCTACTTCTTCTTCTCCTCCTTATTTCTCCTCCTCTTCTTCTTCTTCCTCCTCCTTCTACTTCTTCTTCTTCTCCTTATTTCTCCTCCTCTTCTTCTTCTTCTTCCTCCTCCTTCTACTTCTTCTTCTTCCTCCTCCTTCTTCTTCTTCTCATTTCTCCTCCTCTTCTTCTTCCTCCTCCTTTTACTTCTCCTGCTTCTCTTATTTCTCCTCTTCTTCCTCCTCCTTTTTCTCTTCCTTCTTTTCATCCTCCTCCTCCTCCATTCCATCCTCAAGCCTCCCTTCCCATGGGGCTGCAGCGCCGACCCACGGCGTCACCCCAACGCTTTGGGTAGGACAGGACCTTCCAAACCCCCCCAGTTCCCCGGAGTCTTGGGGTCCCTCCCATGGGTATTGGGGTCCCCCCCGGGCACTGAGACTCCCCCCAGGGGGGGCAGCCACAGCTTCTCTGGGAAACCTCCCACCACCCTCAGGGGGATGAATTTCTTCCCAAAATCTCACCTCAATCTCCCCTTTTTCACCTCAAAACTCTTCCCCCTCGTCCTAGGCCTCCCCTCCCTGCTCCAGAGTCCCTCCCCATCTCTCCTGGAGCCCCTTGAGGGGCCGGAAGGGGCTCTGAGGCCTCCCCGGCCCCTTCTCTCCTCCAGCCTGAACTTGGGGAAGGGATATTTCCCGCCATAACCCCTTTTTCCCGCCAAAATCAGCGCCTTTTCCCGCCAAAATCAGGGCCCTTTCCCCTCCCCTTCCGCCTTCTTCCAGGCTCGACCAGCCGAGTACCGCATCTTCCACCCGCCCCTCCCGCTCCTGCCCAGGC